ACCACAGTCTATCGTTCGTGTCATTGTCAATTTGTCCCTTCTTCCTTTTTCCTTCTTCCTCCGTCCTTATTTGCTGCAGAACAACTTATTAAAAGCTCGTGACATGCAAACAAGTGCGCAACTCTACCGCGCCGCGCGCGCACCACCCGCACGCTGGCCGGTCAGACTGCGACTGCAGCTGGCATGACCCGAGGCAGGACTGCAAGTGGGCGGAGCAAAACCGCAGTGTGCTAGAACGTCACGACCAATCAGAGGGGAGAGAGCGCCCAGCCTGTGCTAGCCTCTAAGCAGGGCTCTGACGACCTTAACATTATCAGTCAATGACAAGTGCCTTTATTTTTCATTTTTTGTTAATAGACCATATTAACCCGCGCCCCAGTGGCGGTCTCCGCCAACTTCGCCCTAGTGGGGGGGGGGGGGGCATATGTTACCACCCACCTCTAACTCAAAAACTAAGAGGGCTAGAAAGACGCGGTAAAAAAAGCGGTCGATAGCTCTCAATGCGTGCGTTTGAAAGTATTTCGGTCATTTTTCATCTTAGAGCAATATTGGGGTCACCAGAGGTCATCAAATGTCAAATTTGCGAATTGTCATTATATTTTTTCAGAAAACATGCCATTATCTCAGGAACTATGATAGCCTGAAAAACGCTGGGAAAAGCAATCGATAGCTTTTGAACTCTTCTTTTGATAAGGCTATAATAAAAAATGACCTCAGGTCAACGGTTTAGCCTCCAGAGGGCAAAAACTCCAAAAATAGCTGCTTTTAAGATAAGTGTTTTTCGACAATAACTTTTGACTAAAAAAAGCTAGGTCATTTCTAATGCCAGAATCGTGTTCCTCTCGCCGAGACGCGTCGAATGAACTATAATTTGACCTTGAAAGGTCAACTTCAAAATTTGACCTCAGGTCAAGGTCATGACATGACCGGAAAAGGTCATGTTGCATATCAGTCGATGCGTCTCGGCAAGACAAACACAACGAGGCTAACCCCAGCGTTCTATCTTTTTCCAATCGAGAGTTATTGGCAAAAAACTGTTTGTAGCCTCAAATGACCTCGGATGACCTTTCAAGAGGCTATCAGCAAAAAAGACACCTTGGTCGTCACAGGTGGTCCAAATCATTGTTATCCTGAAATATTTGGACTGTTCCTATGCGTACACACGGATCTAGAGGCATTTTCGTTTTTCTTCATTGACTTATAATGGAAAGGTCACGCCACCGACCTGACCTTAGGTCACGCATATAAAAATCCGAGATATACAAATTGTAGGCACCCATAACATCATGTAATCCACCAAGTTTAAAACCTCTCTGACAAACACTGCAGGCTGGACATGATTGCAAACTTTTTTTTAGGCTTGGTCAGTTAACCCGCGCGGGGCTGGGGTCTCCAGCCGAACGCGCGGGGCTGGGGGGGGTAAATTTTACCCCCCTGTTATCTCCCGAACTAATGGTCCGATTTGGAAAATTCAAACGCCAATCGAAAGCTCTCATCACGAACTACTAAAAACATGTACTTAATTTAAAGTTTGAGGTCAAGGTCAAGGTCAGGTCAAGGGTACAAATTGCAAGTTTCTACAGTATCGGCCTTGCACCGTAGTTACCGAAGAATGGAGTCATGGACTGAGACTGATCGCCCAAAACGTGTTCTTAGGCTACCAAGACAATATTTGTTGCATACAATATCATTCAGAGGTCAAGGTCAAGGTCAGGTCAGGTCAGGTCAGGTCACCAAAAAACAAAATATAGAAAAGGGCATGTGCGACACATGTTTTATGGGTCATTTTACTCATAGAATTCAATAGGCACACTCAATAAGTGATATGGACCACCTCTGGATGAATTTCAGGTCGAGGTCAGGTCAAGGTCAGGTCAAGTGAGGTCAAATTTTGAAGTTGGTTGTTAAGGCCTAAAAAGGTGTCTATCTGATGCAGTTTTTCACGGCGAATCGAATGGTGCTATTTTTGTTTCCGTACGAGGTCTAGAACTTCCAAAAAAGTCATTTTTCAAAAAATTTGTGTGTCGTGACGTCATAAAATTTTGAATAACTCCCACATTTTTGAACCGATTCTTCTAAAATTTGGTATGTAGGTGCACATAGACCATTTCTATGACATATATTCCGTTTTTTTCGATAGACTCAAAATTTTGGATTTTATAATGATTTTCCCAAAAAAGTTAGTTTTTTGAAAAAAAATTAGGCCAAAATCCAAAATTTTCAAAAAACCGAGATAGCCATTTGATAGACAAAGTAAAATTACGTATAACCTTTTTTGTTACGTCTTGATTCCTTTAAAAATGAAGATGTTAGCGGCGTTTGAACTTTTGCCGTTTTTGAGGCGAAAATGGCGAACACGACGTCACTAAAACGTCAATTTCTCAAAAATTTTCCGACGGATTTCGCTCAAATTTTCAGGGAACGTGTCAAATTGATGTAAGAAAAGGTACTGAAAGTTTGGCGGCGCTGCGCGCCGCCGTTTTTGAGATATCGCAAAAATTCGCGAGGGGGGGTAAAATTTACCCCCCCAGCCCCGCGCGGGTTAACTTGACCTGGTGACCTGACCTGATATGACCTGGGGTCGAAAATTTCACACATTGTCCAAAATTGATGTACCAAAAGCTACCCCAAGCGACGCGGCGCTACGCGCCGCGGTTTTTTATTTATACGAAAAAAACGCGACAGGGTGGTAACATATGCCCCCCCCACTGGGGCGAAGGTTAATAAAAATTAGGTAGGGATCTCAAATTACCAATGCCAAAGTTTGGTTAAAATCAAGCGCATATACAGCGAAAAATAGCCGAAAAGGACTGCTCCACAGGGCCTGAAATGCATAATAGAACACGATGATGACATTCGTTTTATCATATGTGTACGTGTTTGGTTCAAAAAGTTCAATTTAGGAAATGCATGTATCACAGGCGCGGATACAAGGGGGGGCCATGGGGGCCATGGCCCCCCCCCCTTGGCCGATTTTTTTCAAAAATAAAATAAAAAGTTAAAAAGCTGAAAAGGGGGCCTCCTGAAAATAAAGTGGCCGAAATCCGATGAGTTTTTTTTAACCTACCCACTTAGTTATTTCTTAGAAGACTAGCTGAGAAGACTTCTTTGTTAGAAGATTGGTAAAGCTTTTCATAACTTGGAGGTCTCTTATACTCACAGAGATGACCACTTTTACAGGGCCTCCTAACCTGCACAGAGGGCCTCCAAGCCTGCACAGATGTCCTAACAAACACAAAATCTCTTAGCCTACACAGAGGCCTCCACTCGCATCCGAACAAAGGGCCTCCTAGCCAACACAGAGGGCCTCCTAACTCACACAGAAGGTCTCCTATCCTGCACAGAGGGACTCCAAGCCTGCACAGATATCCTCTTCGCCAACACAGGACCTCTTAATCTCCACAGAGGGCCTCCACTCACATCCACACAAAGGGTCTCCAAGTCTGTACTGAGGGCCTGCGCTCGCATCTGCACAGAGGGCCTCCTAGCTATCACAGAGGGCTTCCTAGTTCACATACAAGGCCTCCTAGCAGGGGCGGATCCAGGGGGGCGATAGGGACTATAGCGCCCCCCCCCCCCGGGCGACTTTCTCATTTTCTTTTTTTTTGCAAAAAAAGCATGATAGGGGGCCCCAAAAAATAAAGTGGACGAAATCCAGGCTTAAACTTTTGGGGGTAGGTAGGGCCCCCATCGATGGGGGGCCCCCGATTCGGAATAGCCCCTCCCTTGGCAAAATGCTGGATCCGCCCCTGATGTATCATGGTCATGAAGTAGTCACGAGAAATTGCCAAGATTCAGTTCAAGATTTTGGAAAATGCGGAACGATAATCAAAAATCGAAGATAGCCATTTGATTGTTCATGATATTGGCAGTCTAATGGCGTTTACGACATGTCTGTATGTCTATACCGTGAGTTTATAGGTTTTTTTGAACATATGCCGTTTTTGGTCGAAAAATCGGAAATCATGACGTCACTAAAACCTCGATATCTCACAAATTTTCCGACCGAATTTTTGAAAACTTTGTCACAATAAACTTCAATCAATTCCCTAGAGGTACCCAAATTTTGGCGCACCTGCGGCGCGCCGTTTTTATGCTATAGCGCGGCGAAAAAGTGGGGGCGTTTAACGCCCCCCCCCCCAGCAACTCGCGGGATAAGGAATAAAGCGACCCTACAAAAGTTACCGCATGTAGATCGGTCAAGTTGTTGCTGAGATATAAGCCTCGCAAAAGCGTCCGCACGGCCGGCCGGCCGGCCGTCCTCACTCGGACGTTATTCTACGAAACAATATAGTTCGTTTTTTTTTTCAAAAGGACTCTGGCTCCAAGTACGTTTTTCGAAAAAGCACGCGTTTTAGCGAGCAAAACGAGCAAAAACTGAACCTGAGAAACTCGAACGTCGCCTTATTTTAACATGTGAAGTATTCCCAATAATTTCCATACGTGCATTTTCGAACCAGATATGAGCATAGTGGTGACCTCATGCTGTCGAACTTGTATTGCAATGTAACGTATAACTATCATGGACGAAACCGCTTACTCGATTATAACCTCGGCAACAGTGAAAAACGAAGTTTCCCCCAAATTCGTCGAAACTTTGTCCCATCGTAAGGACATTGGGTGCTTGCTGCCACCAGTGACGTCATCATAGTATGCTAATTTTTCAAGGCACAATTTCCGGGTACTTACCGTGCACAATTTGAAATTGAATATTTTTTCGGTAAGAAATTCTTGGCCAGACGCTGAAGCTGTCAAAACTCACGTGAGAGCTTCGATAAGGAACTTGGAGCCAGCGTCCTTTTGAAAAAAAAAACGAACTATACACTCCCTTCGCTCGCTCCGTAATAAGACAACCATCTCTTTCTCCTCTGTCTGTCTGTCTCTCTGTCTGTCTCAGTCTGTCTCTCTCTGTCTCTGTTTCTCGCCCTCCCTGCCTACAATACCGTTAGCGATTCACCATGTGCTGCCGAATATGTTACCTGTTCTCTGGGCCGTTCCAGCATGAACCTGTACGCCCAAATTGAAAAGGAGACCGGACAGCAGGTAGGCTTCCATCGCTGCGGCAGCCTCCGCCTGGCCACCAAAGACGAGCGCATGGATGAGTTTAGGTGAGTCATACTTAACCCGCGCCCGGCTGGGGGGTCTTGGATTTCCACGCCCTGCTGGGGGGGGGGGGGGTGTTTGAACACCCCCTTGTAACTCGGCTCCTGGGCCACGTAGCGATACGCGGAAGGCGGCATTCGAAAGAGCGTCAAAAATAATGACGAAATCACTTTGGTCAATTTTTTGGTCAGGTCAAAGGTCAGGTCACCAGAGGTCATTGAAGGCAAAATTTCGCCGATTTCCAGGTCGATTGTCGAAAGTTTCCAAGAAGCCAACGCATAACTCGGGAACCAATAGAGCTACAGCGCCGCAGAAAAGCGCATTCGATAGCCCTAGTAACGCCCTTTCTGAGCAATTTTCTCAGATTTGACCTAACGTCAACGATTTTGCCTGCAGGCAGGGGGCAAAAACTGCAAAATAACCGATTTTTTTCGGAAGCAGTTTTTCTGCAATAACTTTTCACCAAAGCCTTGTGCGAGCTTACTTTTACCGGCATCGTGTTTCTCTCGTCAAGACGCATCGAATGAACTATAACTTGACCTTGAAAGGTCAACTTGAAAATTTGACGTTAGGTCAAATCTGAGAAAATTGCTCAGAAAGGGCGTTACTAGGTCAACTTTGACCTTTGGTCAAGGTCATGACCTGACCGGAAAGGGTCATGTTGCATATCAGTCGATCTGTATCGTCGAGCTGAACACATCTAAGGCGTTTTCATCGCTCTAGCATGCATCTATTAAAAGTTATTTGCGAAAAACTGTTAGATATCATTCGTGACCTAAGATGACCTCAGGGCATAAACAGGGGTCACGGACACCATTTTCATGTTCAGTGTGTCTAAACCACTTGTAATTCAGTGTTTGGTAGTGTTTATAATGTCTTTCGTCTAAAAGAGGCGCATTTCAATTTTCTCCCATTGACTTATAATGGGGAGGTCGCAAAATTGACCTGACCTTAGGTTATCGATATCAAAATTCTGAGATAAATATTTTGTACATGCTATTGCTCTTAGCAATCGCTGAAAGTTTCAAAGCGATCGGTCACTCGGTGTAGCTATGACAGACATTGAAACTTTTTATGAGGTGAGGTCACTTCAAGTGACCTGGTGACCTGACCTTGAATGACCTTGGTCTGAAATTTTCACAACATGTGTAGAATTGATGACCTGACCTGACCCGACCTGGCCTAAATGCATGAAGACATTATCTATGTTCATAACTAACATGATATTCGTGATCAGCACCCCGAAAAAAAACATAACAGTTGTATCTTGTAACCTAGATGTAATGACTTAGATGCCTGACTTAATGGGTAAAACGTAGCTGTGCTATGTCTGCATGTTCGTGTGTTGTGTTGGTGTGCATTGTTATGTGTTGAATATGTACCGTGAAATATCGGTGCGAAATAAATGGATTATTATTATTATTATTATTATTATCTTTACGACGTTGCAACAGGTCCCGCGATTTTCCCGACTTTTGGGTCATTGACCTGACCTGGAAGGTCAACCGATGACCTAGGACCTTAAAATGAGGTATCATCGGCGTCCTCTCGTGACGGGCAACACTCTCTAGCTCTCTAGTGTTTTCTCCGCGAAGCTCTAGCTCGATCAGGTGCGAAACGGCAAGGGGCAAGGTCCAACGCCCCCCTCCCTATACGTTCGCGGCTGGAAAAACACCAATACGGGCGAGAGTTAAGATTAATGTGTTACCCCCTCACATTGCCCCACCCAAGGCCACATAACCCACCAGACAGTGATAAACATACATACTTATCCGTGTTGGGGGTTTGATTGAGTGGGGGGGGGGGGGGCCGAAACACGAGTTGGGTCACTGGTCAGCTGCCAATTGACAATTTTTGCTACTTGAATCACAGTAGCAAAATCATAGAATCACAGTAGGTACTCAGCTCTATAAATCACAAAACTCTGGCTTTTCCCGTAGTCATGGAGTATAAACAGTTTTTGAACAAATAATTTAATGTTTCTCGCTAAATCCATGTAAGACTCCGAACAAAAACGTATTGCAGAGAAGGTAATTTTGTGAGATGTTCACGTTTTGACTGGGGGGGGCAAATGTTGGCCACTGGGGGGGGGGGGCAATCCGCTCGACTGGGGAGGCAATTGCCCCCCCCCCCCAGTTAACATGTTCGACGAGGCCCTGTTACGCAGCCCCTGCCCAACAATGAAAACAAATACAATATCAACTGTTGCGCTGGTACGGCATGTGGTACGCCTATATATGGCCTTGATGTGGTAAATCTTTTCCAACCTTTGGCCAATGGCCATCCTTGGGCTGTGAATATATATTACTGACCGGGCCGACGAAATTATTTGGAAACGAGGTTTGCAAAATTGACGTAGGCCCGAGTGCGAAGCACGAGGGCCGGAGTCAAATTTTGGAAACCGAGTTTCCAAATAATTTCGTACGGCTGAGGTCAGTACAAGGCCCTATATACTAGGTAGTCATCCGGGGATTTCACGAAAAGCTGTGACGTCACACGTCCTCAGATCGCGTTGCCCCGTATCAAAACCGTAGAAATGGGTCACTTTCCGACGGCTGGTACAGAAAATTTAGGGGTGTTTGCAGTATTCTGTTTATGCCAGCGAATAGGTCGTTTCAAGCTCTATCTTTTATCTAAATACATTTTTTCTCTATCTCTTTCACATTTCTTGCTATAATGTGATATCCTCGGCCCTGCTTTCGAATCTTCGTTCCGACGCCGTCGGTGGCGGCCGCAGTAGCTCAGTGGTATGATCTTCGCTTCCTACCCGGGCGATGCGGGTTCGATTCTAGTACGTGGCGTAAATTTATTACGTAGCGGTATGTACAGTCTGTCTTAAAAGTACCGCGCAAAGTGGCGGTGGATCCATCAAGCCTGACCGAGAAAGGGCCTGTTTTAATTTAAAAGTCACCGACCAATTGACCTAGGGAATGGATAAGGATGTCAGTTGCTTCAGTGACCCAAATTTAGCAGGCCCTTGCTCAGTCAGGCTCGATGGATCCACCGTCACTTTGCGCGGTACTTTTAAGACAGACTGTACAGTCTGTCTTAAAAGTACCGCGCAAAGTGACGGTGGATCCATCAAGCCTGACCGAGGAAGGGCCTGCTTTAATTTGATTGTCACCGAACCAATTGAACTGGGGAATGGACGAGAATGTCAATTGCTTCGGGGACTCAAATTTAACAGGTTTTTTCTCGGTCAGGCTTGATGGATCCACCGTCACTTTGCGCGGTACTTTTAAGACAGACTGTACAACCTACGTTTACGAGACTAATTTATGCGCCTTTTTTTATTTCAGCCCGTTTCAAACCTAATTTATTGCCCTATTGTACTCTTATTACTAAGTTCAGCGTACCTTAGTAAGGGATTTAACCCAGCATCTGAGGGAAGCGGCGAACGACGCTCTCCATACGCGATTTCCCATTTGAATCTGGCCCCTAGTTCATAAGCTCCAACATCATGTCCATGTTTAATCCACATAATTTAAATTTTCAGAAAAGTCATGGAGCTGCCGTATTACTATATCTAATATAGTATCTATTATCTAATAATATAATATATTATGCACCTAATTGAGTAGACTGTGGCGCAGCCCATAACAGCAACAGTGTGTTGTAAGCATATCGTCTCGTCCCACGTGTTTTCCGCAGCAGTTGATGTACACAATAAAATGGTAACCGTCATTATATAAATCAATAATATAGCATAATCAACACTGCACATCAGTACCTACACATTCATAGGACAGCACTAAGCCTGGCAATCACAGTTGAATCTCCCGACTAGGCCAGGCACTCGGCTCCGGCGGACACGTCACCCGCACAGCCGCCCAATGGTCGCTAGTCACACCTCACGGCGCGTCGATAGGAGGGCAGCAATGAGTCTGGCTATCACACGCCGGTCAAAACTGACATTCAGATGTCTCAGCTTCTTCTACCACAGAACTCCAGACACGCTGACGGACCTGTTTGGCTGCTCCCAGGCGGCGACAGTTTCAGCAGCTTGCGCTTGATTTATGGGATCTGAGTCGGATATGCAGCCCGGTACGAACCAGCTCCAGGAGCCGCCGAACAATGCCCGGATCCAGGACCAGGCACAGACGGTCCACGTCCACGATGATGCAGAAGAGCACCTCGAACGCCTCGATCACTGTCATTCCCTCCCACTTTAGCCAGACGTCCTCAGTAGCTTCGGCACCGCCTTACCGGTGTCGGTCGCTGCACCGCCGTCTCCAGCATACTCTCCGATGACCGGCGGTACTGTCGGCTGCAAGGTGACCGCCCGGTACGCCTCCTCCACCGCTGCCGTCAGCTCCACTGGACGCTGGAACTGGATCTGGAAAGGGAACGTTTGCATAGCTTTTAGCCTTTAGGGGCATTTAATTTTCTCAGTTCAGCAGTCAACTGAGGGAGCCGTTTGTGTGCGCGCATGCATGTCCGCATGCACATCACCATTATCTAAGGTAATACGAAACATATATCCATGTATTTTTTTATATTTTCAAGCCCTGACCATGAGGCTATTTTTATGCCATGGTCATAAAGTGTTCTAAAACATCATAATACAATAATGGAATACGAAAGGCTTATTAAAGGCATGCAATTTCATCGAAAAGCTTTATATGGGTCTACGTTTTCGAATTTTATCGATGAGTTATGTTATTATTACAAGTTATACCTACCGTACGGCGTACTGTCATGGCCGCTAAGCAGACTCACCTGTATCTGCAGAACCTCCAACGTTTCGTTGCCGAGGTTGTCACGCTCCAGCCGCTGACCAGTGCTGACAAACGCCGTGTCAGTCTCTAGGCGCACTGCGCGGGTCCAGCAGGACAAGGTGCTCGCAGAAGGCAGCGGAATCTTCAGCACATCAGCTTGGGCGTACTTGTAGCCTTTAAGCGGTGAGCGGAAGACGGTCAGATCAGCGGTAGATAAGCCAGCCAGATGAGCGGCAGACAAGCCTGCACGATGAACGGCAGACGAGCCAACCAGGCGAGCAGCAGAC